CTACGTTTTGGAGCCTTCCAAACGCCCCCCTGCAGCTCCCATGCCGTTTGCCAGCCCCGGCATTGTCCTTTTATGGTAGTTCAAGCCTGCCGTTTGCCAGCCCGCAAAACTCCCCAAATGCTTCCCTGCAGCTCCCATGCCGTTTGCCAGCCCCGGCATTGTCCTTTTATGGTGGTTCAAGCCTGCCGTTTGCCCGCCCGCAAAACGCCCCAAATGCTTCCCTGCAGCTCCCATGCCGTTTGCCAGCCCCGGCATTGTCCTTTTATGGTGGTTCAAGCCTGCCGTCTGCCCGCCCGCAAAACCCCCCAAATGCTTCCCTGCAGCTCCCATGCCGTTTGCCAGCCCCGGCATTGTCCTTTTATGGTAGTTCCAAGCCTAAACCCCCCAAATGCTTCCCTGCAGCTCCCATGCCGTTTGCCAGCCCCGGCATTGTCCTTTTATGGTGGTTCAAGCCTGCCGTTTGCCCGCCCGCAAAACCCCCCAAATGCTTCCCTGCAGGTCCCATGCCGTTTGCCAGCCTCGGCATTGTCCTTTTATGGTGGTTCAAGCCTGCCGTCTGCCACCCCGCAAAACCCCCCAAATGCTTCCCTGCAGCTCCCATGCCGTTTGCCAGCCCCGGCATTGTCTTTTTATGGTGGTTCAAGCCTGCCGTTTGCCAGCCCGCACACCCCCCAATGCTTCCCCCTGCAGCTCCCCTGCCGTTTGCCAGCCCGGCATTGTCTTTTTTGGTGGTTCAGCCTGCCGTTGTCCGGCCCGCAAACCCCCAAATGCTTCCCTGCAGCTCATGCCGTTTGCCAGCCCCGGCATTGTCCTTTTATGGTGGTTCAAGCCTGCCGTCTGCCAGCCCCGCAAAACCTCCCCAAATGCTTCCCTGCAGCTCCCACGCCGTTTGTGCCAGCCCCGTCATGTCCTTTTATGTGGTTTCAAGCCTGCCGTTTGCCCCCGCCCGCAAAACCCCCCATGCTTCCTGCAGCTCCCATGCCGTTTGGTCCAGCCCGCATTGTCCTTTTTATGGTGGTTCAATCCTGCCGTTGCCGCCCTCAAACCCCCCAAATGTTTCCCTGCAGCTCCCATGCCCTTTGCCAGCCCCGGCATTGTCTTTTTATGGTGGTTCAAGCCTGCCGTTTGCCAGCCCGCAAAACCCCCCAAATGCTTCCCTGCAGCTCCCATGCCGTTTGCCAGCCCCGGCATTGTCTTTTTATGGTGGTTCAAGCCTGCCGTTTGCCAGCCCGCAAACCCCCCAAATGCTTCCCTGCAGCTCCCAATGCCTGTTTGCCAGCCCCGGCATTGTCCTTTTATGGTGGTTTCAAGCCTGCCGTTGCCAATCCGCAAAACCCCCCAAATGCTTCCCTGCAGCTCCCATGCCGTTTGCCAGCCTCGGCATTGTCCTTTTATGGTGGTTCAAGCCTGCCGTTTGCCCGCCCGCAAAACCCCCCAAATGCTTCCCTGCAGCTCCCATGCCGTTTGCCAGCCCCGGCATTGTCCTTTTATGGTGGTTCAAGCCTGCCGTTTGCCAGCCCGCAAAACCCCCCAAATGCTTCCCTGCAGCTCCCATGCCGTTTGCCAGCCCCGGCATTGTCCTTTTATGGTGGTTCAAGCCTGCCGTTTGCCAGCCCGCAAAACCCCCCAAATGCTTCCCTGCAGCTCCCATGCCGTTTGCCAGCCCCGGCATTGTCCTTTTATGGTGGTTCAAGCCTGCCGTTTGCCAGCCCGCAAAACCCCCCAAACGCTTCCCTGCAGCTCCCATGCCGTTTGCCAGCCTCGGCATTGTCCTTTTATGGTGGTTCAAGCCTGCCGTTTGCCCGCCCGCAAAACCCCCCAAATGCTTCCCTGCAGCTCCCATGCCGTTTGCCAGCCCCGGCATTGTCCTTTTATGGTGGTTCAAGCCTGCCGTCTGCCAGCCCGCAAAACCCCCCAAATGCTTCCCTGCAGCTCCCATGCCGTTTGCCAGCCCCGGCATTGTCCTTTTATGGTGGTTCAAGCCTGACTTCAAATTTGTAGCGTCATACTCATTGCATACACATTGCACATTGTGTGGCAAATTGAATTGCGGCATGTTGGGGCATATCAAAACATATATGTCCATGTCTGTCCCACCATGTACCACCATCGACCTCAGCACGGCCCGCCGGAAGCGACGCGCCACTGACCCACTGAACCGCTGATGCCGTCGGATGCCGTCGGAGTATCTATCTCTCCCTCTCTATCTATCTATCTCTCCCTCTCTATCTTTCTCTCCCCCTCTATCTATCTCTCCCTCTCTATCTATCTATCCATCTATCTATCTATCCATCCAGCTATCTATCCATCTATCTCTCCATCTACTTATCTGTCTATCCAACTGTCTATCTATCTATCTGTCTATCTCTCTCTCTCTCTATCTCTCTACCTATCTATCCATCCATCCATCCATCCATCCATCTATCTATCTCTCTCCCTCTCTCTGCAGGACCCCCCAAATAGGGGGGGTCGGCGGCACCCGGGCGCTAGCCCATTCTATATTTTTGACATTTTTCCAATTTGAGGGTTTCGTAAGATGAGGGACCCCAAAACCAGTGCTCTTTCTGACATTTTTCGGATGACAACTTGGTGTCTGCACATCACACCTTCGAACTCACTTTTTTTAGCACCTTTTTTGAGTTGTTTCCAATTTTTGCTCGTGGAATGACAGCTTTTATTTGCTTTTTATATCAATCCCAATTAATGTTGGTCAAATCCCTATTTTTGCTGGTCGAATCCCTATTATTGTTGGTTAAATCACCATTTTTGTTGGTTGAATCCCTATTCTTGCTGGTTAAATCACCATTTTTCACCACGGTTTACGATTCGCGTTCTGCATCTCGATCGGTCGCCTCGTCCCGTCGCCGGGGCCGCTCGCTTTTGAGCTCAGCGTTCCTTCAGCATCTGCCTGACGTGGCGACGATTTTTTGGTGCACCCTGGAGTCCAGTAGATTGTGGAAATAATCAAAAAGAAACATCAGTCTAACCATGGTATTAAGATGGTATTTAGTGATTAATGATGGTATTATGATGGTATCTGGTATTTAATGATGATGATTAATGATGGGTGATTATTGGAATATCTTTGAACATGCCAATTTTTTTCGACTTCGGGATAATTATGTATATACATGTATATACATGATATACATAATATATGTACAATCCATATCATAATTATCTATGGCATATTATGATGGTATGTACGGCCATATACATGTATATACATGATATATGTAGATATCTGTATCCCATCAACTGACAACATCAAGGATTACTCACCTACTTCTGCCAGGCAATTCATACAATTCATATGAGTTGCTCACACAAGCGTCCTTTGGTACTGGATTTTTTTGTGACGCCGCACGGTCCATCTGGGGTTGTCCTAATGCAATCCCTGGGAAACAGGGAAACATGATGACGTATTGCGAAATTTACATGACAAATATATAGAAAAATTCTGACAATGCATTGGAATTTTGGGTACTGTACCCCACCCAGACCCATCTGCCGAGACTGCCCGAAAGCCATGCCTGCTTTCTTCAGAAGCAAATGCGAACCTCTGGCCGTTGCGACAGGTGCATTGTGGGTGTGGAGCTACAACTAATGTGGCAAACTCAAAGTCATAAACATCAATGGTGATGTTTACTGCCCGTTTTCTGTGAAGTCATGGGGGATGGTTTATGAATGAATATGAATTATAAGGTTTACTTTTTTTTGCAACTAGTATTCACCACTAGTATGATATATGGATCCTTTGGACTGTCAATTTGTTTTCCATTCAAATACAAGTGCTCTAGACATTTGGAGATTTTTCGCATTGTTAAGATCCCATGCATTGGCGCAGCTGAAGGGTGTACCATAGATTGGAGAAACCCTTCCATTCCGATTATGAAAGGAACAGAGCCATTTCTTTTCAATATGTATTGAATGTATTGATTGAGCGTGACCAAATTCTTATATTGACTGGTTGGTGGTTTCAACCCTCTGAAAAATATGAGTTCGTCAGCTGGGATTCTTATTCCCAACTGAATGGAAAGTCATTAAAATTCCATGGTTCGAAACCACCAACCAACCAGTTGAGTTCATTGCATGGTGATAAGGCTTTACAGGTCGAACATGACTACCGTCAGGGGATGGGTGAAACATGGGTCTTGCTTGCCGCTTCCTTTACAATTTTGGTTGCTCAAATCCAAACTGTTTGTTCAACATCTCGATTTCTCATATTTCTCCCATTGTTTCCACATGTTGCCACAACTTTTTCATATGTTTCCATTTCTTCTCCATATGGAGGTTTCCTAAAATAGGGCTACCCCTATGACTCATCCATATTAGTTTCGGATTTTCAATGAAATAAACCATCTATGGGGAACCCCCATGACTCAGGAAGGCTTCGCCCTTGCCTCGATCCTTTGGAAGGCTTCATCGCCTGACGAAATCCCGCAGGGTGGTTGAGTTGGCTTGTGGTACGAATTCACCTATCTTTTGGGATATATGTATATATATGACTATATATGATTATATATGTATATATTATGGACTAGAGATTATATCATAGCTTTAATATGTACTAGATAATAATACATCATAATTGTCAAGTATTGTCTTTTTGACCATGTTTGACCATGTTTGAGCCATCCCCATTTCACTTGGGGTCCTTGCTCTCAACAACTGTGGTGGCATCATGGCATGGCTTTCAAGTCTGTGCAACATCTGTCACTCCGCGGCAGGCCTTCTGGAAACTAGATGCTGGCGTGTGTTCCTGTCATTGGCCACCCAGAAAGGTCAAACGACAGATGGTTTTGAGAGGAACACTCAGCAATAGTGATGGGAACATCACTAAAAGTCTGTTTTTTTTTTTTTCGAAAGTCCCAAGATCCCATGGTTCATCATAATCTTACCTACAGTATATAGATTGCCATGGATGAGGGTGCCCGTCCGCTATTTTTATCTATACCATGGTGATGAATTGGTTGCTTACCCAGTTATTGTCTAGCAGCTCACCTCACTACTGCCCATTATCATCAAACAAGATTAAACATACTACGAGTAGTAGGTACCCATATGGTTTTACCAAGAAAGGGTACTCTTAAACTTTCTGGTTCATGGTGGTTTCAAGCCTCATTTTCCCTATAAAAATTGCCAGTTTCCCTATCAAAACTGCCAAAACTAAGGCCATGTCCCATTTCCACACTTCCCATCCACCGCTGCCTTCATCTCCTTCCAACGCTTCCGTGCAGCTTGTGCGCATTTCACCTGGCAGGCATCTGACGTTGGTTTCGGGTCCAAGGGACAATTTGATGTTTTAATTCAGAGAGTGCCATGAGGGCTGAGGGATACCGGATTTTTGGGGAAAACCATTTATTAATTTATGGCTTTAACTCTTACAAAAAAAACCTTACAGCCTTACATCCTTCTCACCTTTTGGGTCCTAAACATGTGAAATTTAAAGGAAGAAACTGGGTTGGGATGGGCTGGTCAATTTACATTCAATTTGTTTGGATCCATTTTTAGCTCATTTGTCGAAGCTAAGTTTGAGGGGAATCTCACATCTCAGCTGTGTGTTGAGACTTCGATTTCTTGGAAACGGGTTGCGTTCCACAAACAGGGCCCTTGTTGTCATTTGATACCACCAGCTAATGCAATTGATGAGACGTCATCAACCCCTTTTTCTGTGCTCAAGTCTCCATTTGTTGGTGATTCATGACTACTACTAATTGGATCTAATTGGTGGTTTCAACCCCTCTGAAAAATATTAGTCAGATTGGATCCCAACTTTTGGGGAGAAAAACATGTTCCAAACCACCAACCAGACTAAGTATATTACTATAAAAGCCAATATCTGGGTTTGTTTAGCAGTTTCAAAACAGGCCTTCAAAATCCAATAGTTGATCATCATTTCCCCATGAGAGTGCCATAACTTGGGAGGCCATATCCCATTTTCAGACATCCCATTAGCAGGCGCCTTCACTGCATCACGGGTCTCCCGTGCCAGGTGCTCGGCTGCCCGCTCTGCTGCCCGCTCTGCTGGGCGCTCTGGGGTATTGTCGCGACGCCTGCAAGTGACGATAAAAATGGCGGGTAGAGATCAACGAATCATATGGATTCATATGGATTCATATGGGGTGTCTGAAGAGGAGGGAATAACCCAGCAAGTTGTGGGCTGAGCCATGGGATTTTGGGTTGCCCATGGTTGCCGATGGTTGCAGAACTCGGATCTTGGCAAAGTGGTTGTTGGGATCAATCGGCTCGATCATCGTAGGAATGATCAGTATTGATACGTAAGAAATACCTAAAGCCATGGACCAGCAAAACTAGTCTTTGTGCCCAACAAACACAAGTAAACATTGGGGATTGGGGACCAGAAGCCAAGAGCATAGCCAACATATCACTCATCAAACAACCCCGTTGCACTCGCCTGCGTGCGATGCCTCATGAGTCGCCAGGGGGTGACCAAAGGAAGCAGGTCTTGTGGGGGCCTGGATAGAAAACTTTTCGCATCCCAAAAGCAAAGGAGTAGATGGTGCATGGCCTGCACAGTTCAGTCAGCTCTTTGGAAGTCATGCATTGGGGCCATTCATACTTTGCCTGATTTTGTTCACATCTACTTAGGACTCATACCCATGGCTTCAATTCAGATAGCGCAAACAATAGATGGCAGGGCAACAATGAAAATCAACCCTTTGCACTTGGGGCTGTCCCCATTTTGATGGTTGCACCGCAGGTCAGGTGATTTTGATGGGTATTCCCACCATGAATGGTTTTGAATCTACCTCTTCAAATAGCTAATCCATGCTAAATCCATAGACCTGTAAGTCAACCTCTAGTTGGATATCAGGTTCCTGCATTGAACGTTGGTAAAAGAACCGGGCCCCAGCAGCTACATTCGTATTCACCAGTCGGTTTACCAGTCGTCATTCTTAAAATTTGTGGCTAAAGTCCGACCTTTTCCAATCTTTACCCAGTTCATAGCCAGAAATTAAATTCTTGTTAGATCTTGTTAGGAATCTCATCTGTATCCAGCTATCCCTCCTGAACCGGCCGCCATATCGTCTCAGCCGTGGCGCCAGCGGGGTTGGGAGTTGCCTTCTCCCCTGTCGTCGAGGGATGCTGAGGTGCCAATGAAATGTGGACCTCGAAAAATTGGGATTCAACTTGACCCAACTATAAAAAGAACGCCATCTGAAAATCACAACATGTCACTACTTATTCACCTATTTCCCTGTGAAACCTTACTCCATTCTTCCATTCTCCCCAAATCCATGCAAGTCGCGAGTCATCTCTTCATCCCCAGAACCAAGTGGAATAATGTCAACCCCGGATTAATACACCCTATTGGGGGCGCTACACCCCCCCAAAAAATGTGAACTTCTCTTAAAAATTGGGTACCCCCTATTAAACTATAAGAGGTTAATTCATATTAAGCTATATTGAAATAGACCAAACTTATATTGAGCTATATCAAGCTATATGAAACTGAAGAATTCTTCCTCTATTAACATTCCACCGCCTTTCTTGGTCCACGGCCACCATGGTCCCATGATGGCCTTCACAGAGCTCCACGCTGCTCTCAACCAAGCTGCTGAGCTTGGGACCTGCAGTGCAACATTCTTCGACCTCTTGGAATTCCTATGAATTCCCAAGTTTTTGGGCCGATTTCTCGTAGCAACCAGGGGCTGTTGGAGGTTTTTTCTACTGTGTCCGGGGCATGAGCCTCAAGAAAAGCTTTGCTGCAAACATGCTCAGCGCACGCATATCACAGATCGGGAAGAGTCTACTATCACAGGACGGCCCAGTGCTTTGCACAAATCCCCAGCATGATCTCCTACAAAACCGCCAATTCTTTCTATTTCTTGACCTTTTCTGCTTCCTCAATGGATCAGAAATCCAAGATTTCAATGGAACATTGCGACCAATCTGCAACTTTAGCTGTGGTGCCTATGACCATCCGCCCCTGCCTGATCTCTCAAGCAGCTGTTGTGTGGCAAAGATCAACGTCATGGCTTTCCGCAGAAGACGTAAACCTGGCGCATCTTTGATTTGGGGGTGTCTGAAAATGGCTACATCCCCCAAATCGCCATTTCAATGGAGAATATCATCTTCCAAACCACCGGATTTATGTTTTTTTTTTCCAGGATTTTCCGTAAATTTTCAGTTGGTCAAACCGTTTTGTGGTCCATCTGAATCTGATTGCATCCCATGCGGCCCGAGCGCGCACCTTTCAGGCCGAGTGCGCAAGTTGCACGTAGGGTGGCGCTGACCAGAGCCGCCACGCTCTCAATGATCCAATGCCCGTGTACCCCTGGACTTCGGGGAAGCCACTGGACTTACTGGTGCCAAACGTAGGGATTTTTTGGGAATGATCCACTGCCTAACTATCAATAATCCCAGCAACCCATCCAGCAACCCATCCAGCAACCCTACGTAAAACGCACCAGTAAGTGGAAGGGTACATGAACATATCATTAACATATCCCATTACGGGAGAGTAGCAAAATGGATCGAAAATGGGTGGATCGTCACCAAGAATCGAAACGGATCTGCTTCAAAAGCTCGGAACTCGCCATTTGCGCGGTCCGTCTTGTGGAAAGAAATGCTTTGACCCAGATTTGATAGATATGGGGCTTTCCTAAAATAGGGGTACCCCTATTTCTCATATTTTCTCATCCATTTTATTTTCGGTTTTTCCATGAAATAAACCATGAAATAAACCATCCAGCGAGCTTGGGGGATCCCCATGATGGAAATCCCCATATCTGATGCCAAGGTTTATGGGATCGCAGCACTGCACCCACGCACCTAGTGTTGAGAGGCTGTCAATCGACCTGCAAGGACAACTTCCATGATTTAAATTGGCAGTTTTTCACCGGCCCGAGGGGTATTAGAGTGAAATTGGATTTATCATGTGATGTAGGCGGAAAAAAATCTGAAATACTTAAATCCATTTAAAGCCATTTAAAACCAGCAACCAGATGAGTCATTCACGTCAGTTGGTTTCGCTACCAGTTTCCAATGCTTCACCATTCTCACCAATGTGGAGTGCTCAGTTCGCAGCTCTTATTGACCTTCAACAACCATATCTTTTTAACGATCCAGCACCCCCCCAGGACCCACCTGCGAACACAAGCAAACACCTCAGGGTGTGCATGGGTTCCTGCAAAAAAGGCAGTGGTGTTGAAGCCAACCCAACTTCGGGACAAAGACGGTGCTCATGGGTCTTGGGATCTTCAAGGTTGTTCAGATTTGTTCAGCCACAATATCTTCCACACGCAGTGCCTCAATCGTGTCATTCTTTTTACATGACAACAGATCCGCGGTGGAGGTTCAAGAGGCGATCTGACAAAACTACCAGGACTGGATGCACTCAACGTCGAAGGTGATGCAACAGTAGGGCAGAATGATCTGAGTCCGAAATGGTTGAGCTTTTCAACATGGATCTATCACCAAAGTTGGTCCCCATGTAGCCATCAGAAGTGTGGATTAAAGCAACAGCCACGGGGTAACATGTGTGTTCAACCATCGAACCCGTTTTCCGCAATCACCCTCATATATTTGATGGTAATTAAAGAAAGTGCAAACAATGAGTGTCTAAACCATGGATTTTATAGGTTCAAAATTTGAGACTACTCCAAATTCCAAACACTGTTGAAAAAAAACATGATGCCACTTTCCAAATAGATATCCTCTGAGTGTCGGTCAGCGCAGTTAGCTCCTAACCATACTGTCAATCAAGCTTTGGGGCTCCAACTTTCTGCAGGGAACTAACGAAGGCCTGGGGAGGTTGTTTCAGGGACAGTGGAAGCACCACTTTGGATCCATCACTTTCATGACCATTGGCTCAATAGGAATTCCAGGATCCTAAAATGGAGGTACTGACTGTACCATATTTCTGGCCATATTTTGTGGGGATATTCCCTTACATAGCCCTGAAAAATAAGCCTTATATATGGTAGGTACCTCCAATCAATCGGTTCCTGAAATGGCCATTCATTGGCTCGGTGAGTCTGAAAATGGGGGCTACCAGGATTCACCGATTTTGGAGGACCCAATCATTGGGGTCCCGCTGTCGGAACTGACTCATCACCAGTAATAGAGGAACCAACGTAGAGCCAAGACCACATCTCTTTTCGCCACCAAAGATTATGTCGAGCTGACAAGTTCTGGATCTCTGATTTTTCCACGGAAAATCAGACGCATTCAAGTACAAGTTCTGAATCTTTGATTTCCAGATGAGCGGGTGTCAAAACCTTAGCACCTTCTTCAAACAACAGGAGAATGGAGAGAGTGATTCACATCTTGGAAGGCTCACTTTCCTCACCCAAATATTGGCGAAAAAAAAATGAAACCATCAACCAGTTTAACATGGGTAATTTCCCATCCGATTCAAAGATGTTGATTGTATTTGATTGTTCAAGCTCAGAATGTTTGAGTGCTACAGCATAACTTTTTTTATTGTTACATAAATCTATATAAATCTCCATCTTGGATGGTTAAATTCCAGTTTTTGATGATCAAATCACCAGCCGACGTCACCTCCCATGCCAGAGCCACACGCCCGGTTTCAGCCTCAGTGGAGAGATGTGAAGAGTCACCGCAGGAACAAAATATGGAACACTAGCGGAAATTTGGGATTTGAAGGACACTTTTACAACATCACCCACGTTTTCCTGAAGAATTATGACACAGATGGCTGAATTTTGGGAGTTGGGTGACATTTTCATTCATTTTTTTGCCCATTTGGATGACATGTTCAGCCCACTTTCCAGCCAAATTTCATTCCCAAGAGCCCCAGCCAGGGGAAGCGGTGCTTGCAAAGCCATGGCCATGCGCTTTCGCAGCATTGACGGCCAAGATCTGGGCGCATTTCACAGAAAAAAAGGTAGGAATCAACCAGAAATCCACCAATAAAAGGGGGTTCTATTGGGTTTTTAGTGGGTTTCAATGGACTTTAGGGATTTTTGAGATCTTAGGGATTTCAGGTTTAGGGATTCTCGTGCAACAAGTGCGAATTCACCAACAAACATAGGGGTTTACCGACAACATAGCTAATTTGACCAATCAAAGTGGAGGCTTTAAGCAACGCAAACGAACAAAAAACATCGGAATTGAACTCATAACAATTACTTTGTTGGATTTTCCGATTAATTTCCCATGATTTCACCAATAAAACCTCCATTTATGTCATTTATGTGATCATTTTTATAGGGATTTTCCAGCCATGTTTCCACCAGAAGCTACTTTCCATACCATGGCAGCCCGCCTCTGCAATGCCAACAGCCCCGCTGCGACCTTGAGATGAAACCAATGGCATGGAGGATTTATGCAAAAACTTACTGCTGCTTTGTAGGGAATAAGGGAATAGGAGGATTGTCAACGTTTATGATGGATCATTCCTCCATTTCGTACGTTTAGCACCAGTTGCCGTGGGAACGTTTTCCATGTTCTCCACTGTTTCTCTGATGTTTTTCCCATGTTTTCCAATGCTTTCCACTGTTTGGGATGATTGTTGTTCTGGACCCCTTCCCCATTCCCTACGTTTAGCACCAGTAAGAAAATAGTTTGTACCCCAAATTCCAATGATGATTCCGAACATATGGCAGTTCATGGATTGGAGAATACCACACTTTCAGACACACCATGAACTGGTTAGTACCCAGTGAATATCCACTGATTTCCCCAGTCTTATATCGATTCTTTCCAACCATGAGCCAGTATGGTTAATCATCATATATCCTCCAGTAATCAAACGTGGCTGGCAGGGAAAGTTCCCGAACGTTTGCCATGGAGGTTTACAGGAAAATCATGGGGTTCAACGGGGGATTTTCCATTGCCAGCCACGGCAATGATTTCCAGAGGGTATATCAAATTATGGTGGACAATTATGATGTTTCCCTATTAATGGTGGATGGCGGATATAATGATGTGTATATAATCATATTTAATATATGAGGTTATAATATTTGATTATGGTGTATATAACCATATGAAAAATCTTTCCCATTCTAAGATATACACCATAATCATGGATGTTTTGATCATGGATGAACAATACCCTCCGGTAATCAAAAATAGCTTGCTGGAAAATCGTGGAACATCAGCCAGCGTTCGATGATGTTCCCATAAGAAACGTGGCTTGCTCCAAGTGATCCCTTAATGTATTTTATGGATTCTTTATAAATATGTATCCCTATATGGAAAGTTATATAAGTTATATGTACAAATATCTTTATGTGTTCATATCCCTTATTTTATGGATGATTTTCCCAGCTAGAAACCTCTATTTTGCTATGTTTATCCGGGATTTCCCAGCCACGTTTGAGTACCATAGTTCGTTTGATGACACTGGAGGGTATATCCTTAATTATCCCATTCATATCCCATTAATATTCCACTAACGATATATCTATCATAAATCATAGTTAACCATAGTTAACCATAGTTAACCATAGTTAACCATAGTTAACTAAAGGAGAACCATCCCCACCTTGCGGATCGTGCCATAGCTCCTTGGGGCTCCCTACCACAAAGCCTAAAAAGATGAGCCAACGGCTCAAACGCCCAAAGGCCTGAGCGAAAAATCTTGGTGAATGAAACTATGATGCAGCTGGCTATGGATGTTCATCCCCTCCAAATGTGGTACAGGATATACATAATATATGTATATAGATATATGGATATATATATAATATAACAAATGTTAACAAATATAATATCCAGATTCCATCTATTCATTATTGCCCCAATGAACCAATGGCATGTTTCGATTGATTTCTTACAATTGAAACCAGATCTTTTTTGACCCCAAAATATGGAGGTTTTTGGTGAACTTTCTCTTTGACTTTCCCTTGCAGCAATTCTGCAAAATGGTGGGACTCTAGTTAGGATCGCTGGGCTACTTGGATTTAAACCCTACCCAATAGACAGGAAGTAACACTCATTAGATCTGATTAGAACATGTCCCAACAAGGGTTGTCCCATTCAGTGGGTTGTAACTTCATGACTATGGCTATCAACAATTTTTGAATCATTCCCCCCGTTGGTGAAACATCCCGACACTTTCGAAGTTGTATCCACTATTGCCGGTGACATCTATGATTGTCAACATGTTATCTCCATCGTATGCCGATTTACTAAAGCTCGATCATGATTGGTTCACATTGGTTCTATCTATCACAAACTTGGAAAACCAAAGGTTTGGTAGCTTCACACCCCTTGTTTTTGCAGGTAGTTATACATATTCATCCACCGGAAACTCAGGGCACCCAGATGGCCCCCAGCTCCGGCCTCAAGGCATAGTACTAGCAGCATCAACTTTTCCAGATCTTTGCGTCTTGGCGACGGACCGAAGCGGGCCTGGCCGCGAGAGATCAGCCAGTTGGAGATCCCAGTCAGAAACCCCCTGTTTAACAATGACCATCATCTTTGGAACGCAGTCCATGCATATTTTTGCTGGTCAAATAGTCAAATCCCTGTACTATTTGATAGATATCCTCACTTTTGAACGGTCTATGGCATCTTTTCATCTTCTGTGGCCATAGTTCAAGATTCTATACTCCTCAAAACTGGATGGTTACGGATGTAAACCATCTATTTCTATGGGCCATCGAAATCCCATGGCGAAGTGTGAATGTCATAACCAGAGGGTAACTTCCAAAAAATCCACACCCCAAGTCGCCCTGAGTTGCACCGTCCAGGGATCCCGGACCAGGGATCCTAAACATTGAAGAGTTCCAAGCCCCAGCTGCGTCACTGGGAGCCACCTCGGCCATGTCAACACGTTGGCTGTGGATGTTCCTCCAAAAAAACAATGGGGGAACATCTCTATCGAAAAAATGGGCAATCAACTTTGGATCATACCGAAAAAATAATCATATCACTTAGAAGGTGATAGCAATCAGTTCAAAGGATCTCCTGTGATAAAATGCATATCAACCATGCTGCATATACAAGTCACTACGCCTAGTAAGTCAAGGAGGGATCAACAAACCATGAACCCTGATTTTGGTTGTTGCACGCCCTTGCTCCCATCATGGAAGGAAAACGTGTCAAAACATCCAAACCTTTCCACAAGTCAGGAAACTGAAACTTGAACAAAATAAACTGTCCGTCAAACCAAAACGCTGGCCTCCAAGATAATTTATTAGCTGCAGTTAAGAAATATGAACCATTCTCAAACTTTCGTGACCATTGTCAACCACTATAAAACAATGTATATAGTCTACTACAATTAAGCATTATTGCAATACTAAGCATTGTCGTCAGACTAATCACTAATATTCACAGTTTGTATTCAAGGACCTCGTCAATATTAACCATATTGCAACTAATCCCACCACGATTAACCAATCTTGAATATTTATCACCCATTTATGGTAGTATTTGGGATGGCTTATTATTGGGTTTTCAATCTTTAAGCATCATTAACCATGATTAGCCATTATTAATATAATTAATAATTAATTAACTATCATTTCTATTAATAACCATTAGTAATCAACTATATCATTGATCCAACAGCCTTTTAACCCACCAAAAACCTCGTCCACCACACCCTGAGCACCCCGGCCGCAATGCAATCGCTGCTAAAACCTTAGGTGCTCGAGCTGTTGGGTGGTACAGTGGTACATAGGAGATAGCCTCAAAAAAAATGGCCATGGCAAGGGAAAATCTGATGAGATCCACTTTGCTGAAATGGAACATCCAATGAAAATAGCAGGAAATGGGGGTAATCCATGGTAATCCCTATATTTCCAAAGTCATTGGATCATTTTAGTACTGAAACTCCTGGATATTACATGTTCGAGAACAATTTAGTATTGGAACAACCATAGTGTGCGAGGCCACCACCAATTTAAGCACCCCCAAATGGCACTGGCAACGGAAAACCTTCGGAAACCCATTTTTTGAAAGGAATGGAAGATCCAATGAGCATCCGTGGAAACAAAGAAACAAAAACACTACGATGGAAAAACGATACGAATTCTCAGTTTTTGATCGGACAAATAAACAATTACTGGATGTACATGTCAGATATTACTTTGCCATGTTAAGGGGAGGCATCCGCGGATTGTTGAAATGCGGACTATCTGAATCCCATGCCAGCTGTGAGGAGTGCGCTCACCAACTGGAGCCTTACTATGATCACTATCGTCATCAATAGTTGTTGTAAACTTTGAAATGCCCTGCAACAGGAAATTTCTATCGGGATTTGACATATTCTTCCATTGACATAGCTGAATGCCGTAAACATCAACTCATTTTCGACTACCTTTACACATTCAATTTGCGCAGTGATAGTGGCCATATCACATTGGGATCCCCGACTGCCAGTGCCACACCGGGTTGCTGAATGATGGCCTCGGTAGGTAACATGCTACGAAGCTGGAAAAGGCGCAAGGCATTAATGGTAGAGCACCTCCTTATATGGCCCTACCAACAAAATGGTTTGATCAACCATCAATCAAAGTTTACAAAGAATGCTGGGACATATGAAACGTATAATATAATACATGGAAAGCTTTGTTTCTTGTTGGCTGGTAGCTCCTATCATAGTTTCAACCATCCCGACCATGGAAAGGGCAGCTACCAGCCAGTGGTAGCTGATGCAAAGCTGGAAGTAGGTTTCTCCAATGACTTCGTTGATAAATAACATATCTATCATATCTATGAAAAGGCAACTATGTTCAAAGCTCTGTGCTAAATTTGGGTTTGGTGGAATTCCATGATTTTGAGTAGAAAAACCAAACTGACATTTTGGCTATATGGAATTCCACCATCCATGATTTTGGCTATAACTTGACATAGCCCCAACTGATCCAACATGAGCCGCGACTTCAGTCATTCGGGGATCAGCCCGCCTAAAATTCTTCATTGCAATGGGCCCATTTTCAGATCATATTCCAAGTATCTGCCTATTGATTGTTGTTGGTAAATCCTCCACAAGCCAAGGGTACCACCAATTTTCGGACAAACCCATCTCATATAATTTGCTATTTATATCCCATTATATCTCCACAGGTTTTTTTGTACCTTCAATTCTGAAAGGTTACTTACTCCGTATCTGTTGAAAAAAAAAATACAGTACATCATCAATTTCGCTATAAAGATCATCGTACTCGACTGTTTATCCCATTCCATCCTTTTATTTGTATGCCATTTATGTATATGCATATGTATATCATGTATATATATATATATCCATCCGATCGCCACAATTTCCCAGTATATTCCCACCAAATTGTTGGTCTCATAAGTATATCTTGCCGTTTTTGATGCTTCCCCAATTGATTCCTCTGAGTATTGAAGAACTACCCCAACCCATAGGCCCCACGACTATCACCACAACTCCTTGCCCACTGCCCCCGCTTTCACACAGGTCATTGCGCTGCATGTTTGGAACGACGGGATCCCGTCTGCAGGAACTCGGGCTTGAAAGGTGCCCTAAGCGATGGAAAATTCAGACTGGGGAAAGCTGATAAATAACGGGGAAAATGTGGGTTTATCCACTGAAGAATGATCCAAACCTCGGGATTGAACTAACAACACATGGTGACATGGTGTTTTTTTTGCAAAACGAGGATTTAACCAACAACCACAATTCATATGGCAGTGTTTCTTCCAAAAACATGGCACCCTGCGCAGAATGACCAGAATGGATTGCAGTTGGGATGTGAATCACGACCTGTTTTCTTCTCGTTGAATTTACCCGTGGCATCTTGGTCTTCTTCAAGGCTGAGGCGCTTAAAAAACACGACCCGTTTGCTTCTGACAAGACATTCATTGTCTTTGCCCATTTCAAGATGTGATAGATTTTGGTCTCAGAATGTCTCAAAGATCCCCAAGCCACCTGGATTGTCTTGCGAGTTACCCAGGAGGAATCTCTGAGATTCCCATGTCATATTTTGTAGGTACATGCACCTGGAACACCCCAATTTTAGATGACTAACCCTCCATCTTGTCGTCAACACCTCCAAAATAATCATGGCAACAACAAAATACAACCTGGGTTTCAAACATTTATCTCTATATCTCTATATTAACAAATATCATATATATATATATATCGATATATATATATATATATCGATATATATATATATACATATCTATTGCCGTGTGTATGTCCCATGATGACCCATGTATTTCTATATAATTTGTTCATTTCGTTTCAATTTCTTTGGTTATAATGGGACATACAATATATCTATAGATATCTATATCTTTGGCTCATATATATATATATATACATACATCTTTTCATTTCGCCATATTTTGCGACCAAGACTCCAGCCAAAGCGCATGACCACGCTGGTCAGATTGCCAGTGGCACCCCGCTTCCTCGCCGCAAAACTCAAGGCTTGGCCTCGGTGGTGGAGTCACTCATCCCAAGCCCCAGATTGTCATCTCAACCAATCATCACTGGTTGGTGGTTTGAACCCCTCTGAAAAATATGAAAGTCAGTTGGGATTATTATTGCCCCAATCCTCATTGTCATATCAATGGCTATATATAACTGGTTGGTGGTATACCTACCCCTCTGAAAAATATGAAAGTCAGTCGGGATGATGATTATTCCCAATATATGGAAAAATAAAACATGTTTGAAACCACCAACCAGGATACACATGTCATAAACATTTCATAGATAATCGGCAGAGAATCATCAAAGCATCATATACTAAATATGACATAAGTGTGACATAAAACACATCCTATTTGAACCATTTGTCAAAAAATCTTCAATAAATGCCTGATAGTTTCATACATAATCAAATGTTTATGTGTTTTCAATCATCTCAACCCATTGCATATCTATTATTTTCCCTTTTGTACGGTCGAGCAACGATAACTATTTGTGTTCGCTCCAAAGAAAACCGTCTTTAAGAAGATTTCTAGAAAAAACACATTCAGAGGAAACCATGAGTCTGTGATTTTCTTGCAGATTCTGCAAGTTTTCCTCTAGATGGGTATGCAAAACGACGAGTATGTGGTGCAAAAACTTTCTAGAGAAAAGACTGGTTGGTGGTTTCAGCCCTACCCCTCTCAAAAATATGAGTCACTAGTCAGTTGGGAATATGAAATTCCCAACTGAATGGAAAAATAAGATTCATGTTCCAGTCATTAGGAATATTCCCAATAATATAATCCCAATAGTCAGTTGAAATGGTTCCAAACCACCAAGAAAACGATGACCATTTAAGCCCCACAAAACTCTGATCCACTGAGGCCTAACTCACGGCCACAGCATCTTTTCCTTGGGAGAAGTAGTCCTCGCTGATTGGTGCACCAATCTGATTTTGCGTTTTATGTTGTTATTGGTGGTTAAACATATAGTTATGTTGTATATCTCATATCCCCATACACACCACATAAACACCACATAAACATAAAGGTTGAATATGGCAAAATCACCCCCTGGTTGGTGGTTTTAACTCTCTCTTTAACTCTTTAACTCTCTCTCTCTCTCGTCTTTCTGAGAAATATGCTCACTATTTGGGATCATCATCCCAAAATTTGGTTGAACATAAGACATTTTCGCCAACCACACAAACTCAGCTGCCTGGCGACATTCAGTCACCGAAGGAAGCAACGACCGTTGGAAGGACACTTTCGTCCCACGGATTTTTTTGGCACGGCCTGAAAATAGGGTCCATTTCATTCACGACTTAGTCATTGTTTTCCTTATCAAAACAAACTGTCTTAGGGTTTATACATTTCTATACACTATTTTCAGACACATCAGGTTCGTTATTCATTGATCAAAGCCTTTTTGATGGTCAAACCACAATTTTTCAGAATTTCAGATGGTTAGGCCATGTCCAACTAATATTTGTCCAAGAAATTCTGATATTTTGATATTTTTCTTGCTGCAACCACAATCGAAGTGTACATTGCTTTGTCCGAAAATGTGGTATATACCCAAAACATTCAATGGATATTCATCCTTTTTCGATGGAAAATTCTAATTTTGGGATAATCCAGTGGGTACATAATCTAATTGGTGGTATACCTACCCCCCTGAAAAATGATGAAGTTCGTCAGATTGGATCATCATCCCCAATCTGATGGGGAAAATTTAAAATTCCATGGTTCCAAACCAGCAACCAGGATATATTTTACTTGAAAAATATCAAAGATCTATGGAGATTCAGCCATCCATTTGGATCCATTTCATTCAGTGAATAATTAAAAATGGTGATTTTCCATAGTTTTTTGTAGGTTTACCAGAGGGTAATCCGATTCTTTTTATGGACAATTCTAATTTGGGGATAATTCAGTGGGCATATCTGCAAATGGATAATCCAGTGGGTATATCTATGCAGATCATTTTGGGATAATTCCGATTTTTCTATATTTACCAGAGGGTATAATCCAATTATCTACTGGATACCCTCTGGTAATTTAACATAGCTATTGAACATGGCCATTTATAGTGGATTTTCCCATTAAAAATTGTGATTTTCTATAGTTATGTTAAATTACCAGAGGGTAATCCATTAAAAACGGGTTTATTCACATGATCCAACCATTTTTTAGTGGACAAACCCCAAGAAAAACCATCTGCAAAGACCTCCCGCCATACATTTTTGGTCCTTGCACAGATCTCCAATGTCCTGATTGCTCATCTTTGCTGTGACCTGTTTGCGAACTGGAAAATGGCCATTTTTCCATCGTTTTTCATAGTTTTACACCAAATAAATGGTGAAAAATGGTCATTTTTATGGTTGTCATAGTATTACCATTTCTAGAAATCGTTGATTTACCAAAAAAATGGTGTTTTTTCGTAGTTTCTTGTATGTTTACCAGAGGCTAACAACCAATGGTTGAAAAATATCCCATGATATCTTCTGTGGTTAGAATATATGTTTGAAATAGTCGAAATACCTACTATATTTGGGATTAATCAATCCTCGAAAATAGTCTAAACCCCAATGGTTTAAATATCCCATGATATCTTCTACTATGACTATGACTATGGTTATGGCGTGGTCGACTTGATGCCCCCCCCACATATGAGCCATTGTTTCCCAACTATTCGATTCACAATGTAAATCCTACGATATCTACATCATCTCCCAGTGTTTCATGCTAAAATACCAAACAAATCGACAATCATCAACCATCATCAACCATTAACCATCATTGACCATCATTAACCATCATTAACCATCACTGATCATCAGTATCCATGTAATTTTCCCTACTTTTTGGTACTTAACTCACTTAAATCACCCATTTCTTGCCATAGCCACCCCCCCTTCACCACCGTTCCGTGACCACGCTGCAGACGGCCGGCCTTGCTGCAGACCATCACCAGCGCCCAGTCTTCGGGCGCTAATGTCCGCACCAAGACGTCGGGTTCGCAGATCACCTCAGATGATCTGATAGGTTACAATGGTCAATAATTAATGGTTAATCATATAATCATATGGTTAACAACAAGGTTAATGGTTAATCATATGGTTAATAAGGGTTAATGATGATTAATCAATATTACCAGGGGGTAACGTTCTGGATAACTTATGATTGTTGATAAGCTATTATTACTACTATTATTATTATGATTAGTATTATGACAGTATTACTATTGAGTATTGTTATTATTGATATTATCATTATCATAGATAACCTATCGATAGTAGAGATGGGTGAATACCCTGGGATTAACATAAACTGTAGGTCACTTCCCTTGAAGCAAGTCTGGAAGATATCATATCACACAATATCAATGTAACATGATGCGCCATGATTCTCCTTGGTATATATATATATATAGATAAGATAGCTAGATAGCTAGATAGCTAGATAGATAGCTAGATAGCTAGATGGATCGATAGCTAGATAGCTAGATAGCTAGATAGCTAGATAGCTAGGTAGCTAGATAGCTAGATAGCTAGATAGCTAGATAGCTAGATAGCTAGATGGATAGATAGATAGATAGATAGATAGATAGATAGATAGATGTGAATAGAATTGGGGATTTCACTAAAACTGCGAACCATTTTATTGTTTCTCTCGGAGTCTCAAAATATTCAAAATATTCAAAAGATTTCAAAAGGATTGACCCTAGCAATCAGATAGTTGAATATTGAACTCGACCCGCAAAAGGATTGACTTCGAAGATTCATGGAAAAGTAGATGAAAAGTTCATACATCATCCATAAACCCAATCATACGCCCCAAGTGTCAACCATTTGGTGATCATTTTACATCACCCCAATTTGGGATGGTGATATCCGAGGGCCATTGATCTGGGGTGAATCATAACAATGCACATTACATTCCCATACAAAAAGCTTGGATATGAACTAGTATCTGCTTAGTCATAAACTATTAGAAACTATTACCACATATGGGATTCAGCATGATTCATGAAGATTTGGGTGACTCTTCTGTTTTTAAAACAGCACCATGGTAAAACACCACAGATTTTCCGTGAAGACATCACCATCATTCGTCATTTCCCAGTGGCGATGTTGTGCGGAGCCTTCAGGCGAATATCACCGAAGGAGCGCGTGGTGTCCAGCCACACCAGGTCTTTCCAGGCGCCTGGAGAGCGCTGGCAGATCGTTCCGGTAAGCATCAACACATGGGATTCAATGGAAACATGGGATTTCATGGGAAAACCGGAGAATCAAAACATGAAAAATGGCAGATCTCCATTTCCCATTGCGGTTTTTAAAAAAAAGGAAATTGGAATGGATTGAAACCACGAGAGATTACGACGGACATTTCAAGCCATTGTAATCTATTGCAGTCCCACAGGGGATCCCACGGTGCTTTCAACATGGACAAAATCCAGTGGCTTCCATCATCCCAGGCAGTCGGTTCCTGAGGATTTCTTCTCCTTGTACTTGTCTCTGCGACCAACCTGGAGGAGGATCGGGGTCAAAACCAAAAGTCGGGGCGTCTCCAGACTTGGCCACCGGTCTGGAGATAGCCTGCAGAAAAGCCAATTTGAGTTGGCGATCATATTCCCTATTGATAGCTAACAAACAATCAGCTGTTGGACATCAAGCTATCTGCATTCATCCCTTGAATATTGAATATCCTATTGGTTTCATCATGAGAAGGTTGGGAATGGCTCAAGACGAAGGTCGCCCGTGAAATGAATTGTTTGTATAGATATACACACATATTCATCATATCATATGCGGTAATGCGGCATGGGCGTTTTCTTTCGGAAGTCTAATTTGCTGGTCAAGACACGCAAATCATTAATCTCCTAACACTAGTACGTAGACACACACACATATTTATATATACACACAATATCATATGAATGATGTTGTTGTTATGGCAAGAAACAATGAGTTGAGCCATGAAGACTACCCCTGTCTCATCCCATTATACTGGAGAAGAGGCATTCCAGTTATGGTTTTACATACGCTCCACTAAACTAGGATAAACATGGACTCCAACCTTCAGCTGCCCTTCGAAGTCGAGGACTTTGCCTCCTGCGGCCTTTACCTTAGTCAACGAGTGCTGATTTCACCAGCGGAGCTGAAGAGACGAACAACATGGATTTTCACAAACGAGGGCATGGATTTTCATCAACATGCATCAACTATATGCAATTGAACCAATTGAACCAACACAGTGGGACCCCACATTTTCAATACATTTTCTTGTTCAGAGACTCATATTGCAAAGAACCCGTCAAGGCCTGGGTATGAACCTAAGATCAAAATGGGACAAGAAGTGACAATCCTTAATGCTCCCAAGCATCATGGCATTCATTCAATGACTGGTGAGTTTTGGGCCGGTGTCACAAGTCCACAGGAGCTACAACCTTTCATTAACCGCCCGAAATCGAGCATGGTTTTGTCTGGTTTCATGGCAAATGGGCAGGAGTTTTACTCTTTTAGCCATGTAAAGGCATGATTTCTAGAGGATCAACATAACTCAACCATATCACTCCACAAATCCGTGGTCCTTCCATGTCCTTCCTGCAAAGCAGTTGCGCGATTGTACTCGTCCTTCCTGCAGGATGGAAGCCCATGATTTGGTTGTCACCCACAGGGAAGCACCATTTAAGGCTCTCTATGGATCAACAGATCAACACCTGCTGGACCACATTCTGAGGGGATGAACCTGATGAACCACCATAAATCCCAGCTATGTCAGTGAGTTCACCAGAATTTCACCAGGGCTTTGATCCCCATAGGGTTAATATATGGTTAATTACTGGTTAATATATGGTTAATATGGTTTCACCAGAATGATCCCCTCCAGACCCACACCTCTTGGGCACGTGATCTTCAGACAATGGCACCACCTTCTTTCCGTGCAGCAGCAGAGCGCGGGTGTCGCCGCACCAGGCCTTTTGTTCAAGGGAATGCCGCTAGCAGCTAGCAATTGAAGACTGCCAAGATGTGATGCAAAAACACCAGCTGCATGTTATCCACAATTTGAATTTGACATAGCTCTAGTAATCACCAACTTTCAATAGGTAAGTCATGTATAAATGGGCCATGGCTTCCCTAACATATCAGTGGGATCCTCAAAGTATGGCAATGCCTTGCCAATTTCATTACTATATCTCCAAATTATCTCCACATTTCCCTTGGTTATAATATATAATTTGGATATATATATAGCGGTATAATATATAATAGTGGGTCAATTTCCAAATTTTCCACTATATCACCCTATGTATATCTCAATGTTTTTGAAAAAACCCTATTATATGTCCGCTCTTGTTTTAAAATCCTTTTTCAGCCTTGTATCCCCCATGGTATCCCCGTGAACTTCGCCCTTCTGTCAGAACCGACTTGTACTTAGATGGGCCACGGGACTATTTAACAAGTTAGTGACTGGATGATAACCCATTATTTAACCAGCTACAATCCAGTTACTAATCAGTTAAGTACTACCAGGGCCCATCTAAGTACCGTTGTCAACCATCATAGCAGTTATTCACCAGTTATTCACCAATCTTAACCATTATTAACCACATATGAACCACATATGAACCATATATTAACCATATATTAACCATATATTAACCAGTAATTCCTTGCCAAGTCGCCAGAAAAATCTTCGCCACCCCTTGCGTCTGCGGCACCGTGGGAACGGTCGAATCGTCGAAACCGTGGGCCAGCAGGGCGAAGGTTGCGGAGGTCCTTGGGAACATGAAGCTGAAATATTGGGCGAATACTTGGTGTGATTTCCTTCAAACAGTTTATTTTTAATGTGGTTAATATATGGTTGATATATGGTTGATATATGGTTGATATATGGTTAATATGTGGTCAATATGGTTCATATAGTTTTCTGATATGTGAACATATAGTTAAGATATAGTTTTCGTACAGTTGAAATATGGACAATAACATCTTCCTTGTAAATTGGATCTAGAAGGTATACGAATCTCTATTAACAGATATAAAATGTCCCTACTAATAAACATTATATACCACCACGGTAAATATGGTAAAAATGGCTACTGTAGTATGCTTGATGTACTGGTTAATATGGTTTGCATGGTCAATGATGGTTTCTCATATGGGTAAGAAAATCAAACTTTTGACCATGGCACATGTGATGTAATGGTGAATATACTTGTTGATTTGGCCAACATGCTATTTTTTCTGCGATCATGATCAATCATTGTCATCATATCACCATCATTACTATCATCATAACGACACAACCTTTGATGTGCTTGATATGGTTCACATGATTGACATGGCTTATATCATGGTCAAAACGGGTAACACCCGAAGAACCTCATGTCATTTCCATCGCAACCCTCTATTGAGACCACCGTAGAAACAGCAAACACACATGGTCTAATCTCCTTATCCCCCCCATTCCAATCCCTATAGAGAATCCACACCCTTTAAATTTCAACAGATTTGTTGTACTGATTCCCATTTATCAAAGATCAAAGTTACCTAGAGTCAAACTACATAATTTTTCAAAGTCGCTATACCATGCAATTGCAGGTTGACCCATGTGAGCCGTTAAAAATACCTGTATCCCATCTCATCATACTAGTTGGTTGAAAACGAAAAATCCCTACGATGACTTATCATGAGTCCCCAAAAATTAGGCAGTACAAGTCCCTACAAGTAATCATCAACCATGATCTATCAACTAGATCCCAACTATATCTTCATCGATGGTTGAACCACCATCCAGTAAAATAGTATTACAGTAAGTCATCACCCACGCTAAATATTCATCAAAATTCATGATCCATAGTTGAAGCCCATTTTATCTCATTTTATCAGCTATATCCACTTATATCCCCATATCATCTGGGTAAATTACAAATTTTCACTAACCTGAATTAAGGCCATTTGGGGATGATTCCTCTTATTAACCATGATTCCAGTGAGGTCGCAGTGAGGTCGTTATAATTTACCCAGCCATATAGTCCTATATTTTCATAGCCCAGGTCATTAGACCATGACTTAGTATTGAAACCTCTCGGGAGACGACTGGGGATCTATGGTGACGACCAATTTGGATCCCCCATTTGTACGGAAACCTCCTAAGATTAATTCAATGGCACCATATGGTATTTTAGGCACTCATTTTCGGACACCTCCATCTTAACCATATTAACTACTTTTAAAGAAAAAACAACCATCAATAACAATCATAGATTTTCAACCAATATTATCAACCACTATCAACCATCTATTAACCATCAATCAACCATCATTAAACCACTAATATTTTAACCACCAATCACTAACAGTATTGACCACTATTAATCACTATTAACCATTAACCATGTCATATTTTCTTCATGGCCCACGTTGACCAAGGTACCCATCGGTCCAGTGTCCCTTGGACGCGGTCTGCATCAGATCTCGCTCCGCTGCGCGGCAGGCGGAGCGTAGCACGTCGCGGAGCAGCTCGGTCTCGCGCGCCATGCTGAGAGTTTCGAGGCCTGGAGCGGGTGGAGCGGGTGGAGGGGTTTGGAGGATTACTATTTATGTATATATTATATAGGATTATTAACAACCACATAGGATTATTACCATTATAGGATTATTCCATTTATATGATATAGGTTAATATAAGGTAAATATAATTCATATAATAACCATGTAGGATGCTTTTATAAACCAGCCTTAAAACAGAGATCACTGGTGCCACGGTACCATGCCCATTTCGATCTCGAATCTCCAAGACATGTGAGACATGGATGGCACATGTTTTCTTCCCGAAAAGGCAATTTTTTATTTTTGACATCAAATTTGCTATGAATGATAGTTTAATATATTTTATATTGTTATATTCAAAAGACATCAACAGACTTTATATTCATATTATTCATGAATGATAAACCATCAACTTTGGGGTCTCCGCCCTTTTTCAGACAAACCATGTGGATTTTGAGATGCTTCAACATGCACCAAAGATCAACATGGAAGGTGGCACCTCGAGTTTGACCCAGCTCGAAACTGTAAACATCGTGGAGAATCTTTGGAAAGGAGTTGGCCACATGAGAGGCACATTGGCCGCCACAGTGGCCATCCAGGATACCTCGGCTCCGGTCCTATGGGTCTCACATTTTCATCCATAGCCAGGGTAAAGAAATCCTATTCCTGTGGTGAAACATTCTTTCTTTTAGATGTAGCTGGGTACTTTGGGGCTGCTCCATCAGTGAAACAGGTGGGATATTGATGAATATCTACCTCCTTAGAAACTTTTGAGATGATTCTGGAACATGTTGATGTAGGCAGATATTGTTGGATTTCCCCAAGCATCCTTCCAATTGTTGGAGATTTTTCCTACTGGTTTCCTACTTCCATCAGTTGATATTGCTGGATCACCACATCGGCCACACAGTGGCCATACCTTGGCCCAGCTGCCGATGAGAAAACCGATATCCAACACGTCTGCAGCGCACAGCTCGCTCCGATCATCGCCTCCCAGCCCGCCATGGGCGGAGGTTTCCAGGTCGTCATGGGGGTACCCGGGTCGCTATAAATGGATGGTTTATTTCCATGGGAAAATCCGTCAATGGATGAGAACTAGGGGTACCCCCATGACTATGGAAACTTCCGTATGTCTGTGGTCCTAAAGAATTTCTTGTAGAAACCACAAAATATTGGTGTCAAAGATATATTTCGAACCACAATGTTTGATTTGACGGCGATTTTGCGGTTTCAAACCAATGATATATGCATAATTACTAGCATATATTTACTGGATAATATTCAGCTGTAATGCTAAGAACGTGAAGATAATGACATAATTCTGACTACCAACAACTATTTGGATGTCCCTCTCCAATTAGTGACTGGAAAACAACCTGTATCTAAGATTATCTAAGCGGGTATATCCCAGACATGATTGGGTGAACTAACTATTGGTTGGTGGTTCCATCCCCCAAATATTGGTGACTTTGGATAATCATCGCAAACAAGTGGAAACATAGCAAACACTTCTATTATGTCGCTCTATTACTTATATATACGTATATATACTTATAGTCACATTATCTCCCATTTATGACAATTAGGCCACATTAAATCTTCCAATTATTGGCTTACATGCCCATTATCTCCCATCATAAAACGATGAACATCACCTTCAACCAGCATAAAATCACCATTTTCCATCATTTTCCCACATTTTTCCATGGCAAAAACCACATGTTTTTCATGGTTTCTACCCACCAAAATCCTCCCTTTCCGCCTCGGTAATTCACCTGGTTATCCACGCCCACCGTGAGTCCCTGCTGCGTGGCCGGCTCTGCCGGACGCACCGACAACGCCGTGAAGGTCCCATTGCGCAGCGTGGGAAGCAGATGGACGCGGGTACCGTGCCTCACAACTGGCGCAACTTGGAGAAGCGAAGATATCTATGGTTTATGATGGGAAATATCTATGGGTATGAGGACAATAATAGGACATGATTGTGGGATATAATGTTTATCATATGTTCAATAATGGGACATATCTACATATGGAATGGGTATTATAAATATATATTTAACAAATATGTATATATATATATATACACATAATATATATATACATACATATGTAAACTAAATAGCTGGTAAATACATGGGGATGGGTCAAGTTACGTATGAAATTACCATACTGGGGGAACCACCATCCATGAAGCAGCTATTTTAGTGTAGGGTACCAGGGTTTTGACACACCGTCCTGGAATTATATATCTATGGTTAATAAGGGGATAAAATGTATCTTACAGTAGTTGGTAATATCTTTGCTTATATCATAACCCCTTTGATAAATAATGGTGGATACTGGGATGATACGAATGATCAATACTGGTTCATACTGGTAAATCACCCAGATATATCTACAGTTGCTCCCCCCAACATAGAAGAAGGTAACAGTTTTACTTTTTTTGATGTGGATTTTGCTTTTCTATCTTTTTCGGGTTGCTATATAGGCAAACTTAAACAATCTGCATAAGGTGGTACTGAACCATCCTTGACCAACTTAAGCCAATTTAGAATGTGACTGTCCAAGCTGGTTATAAGTTGGTTATACGGTGGTCTATAATCCAATCTAACTACGGAATACTAGTTCATACCAGTTACTAGTTCGATATATCCATCAAAAACCCTAGTGAAGTATGGTGAACCAACCCAACAAACTAAACATCGAATGAGTTACTCATTCGATGTATCTACCATGAACCCAAACGACACCTTTACTAACCCAACTTGCCTATAGTTTGGGGGGCCCTTCCTGCAAACATGTATACAATCTTAGAGAGGATCTTGGGAACCTTGATTTTGGGATATTTTTGGCTTGCATTTATGAACTCTTGGATGTGCTTCACCCTAATCACTGGGTAATTGAGATGTTTAAATTAATTTTACAGGAAATCATCAACCCATCAGTTATAAACCCCATGAATACTATAGTTGTAAGTCTCATAAACCATGGTTATTATGTTATTGGAGTTATAAACCAACTTTCACAGGTAATCCATGAGTTTTCTGCCCTAAGGTTCCCCTATCGGCCCAGTAGCATGAGCCCCGAGGGCGTCAAGGGAACCATGTTCCGATTCACTGCTCCACCACTAGGAATCACCATCTCCTCACCTCGGAAGTCTGGTTGGTGGTTGAGCCCTACCCCTCCGAAAAATATGAGTCAGTTGGGATGATTCTTCCCAATATATGGAAAAAAATGTTCCAAACCACCAACCAGAAGTCGATTCTGGTCTTTGTGGTGATTTGTTGCTTTCATATCCCTCTTGTTGATCATGTTTCTTGATGAAATGCCCCTCAATGGATTGGCGCCATATTTCATGGAAAAATCTATGGTTTCCGGTTAATTAAGACTTTCTCTTAAGCCAATCCATTGAGCCCCTTGTTTGCTGCTGCAACTTTTCATAGTTGCTTGCTACATCTTTCCACTCTACCCATTTCTACTCCACCGCCACATCCCATATCCCCCCATTTTGTGCAGCTCATGTGGCCATCATCGCACAGCACCAGTCCTCGCTGACGCCGGCCGTTGTACCACAGCACGGTGCCAAGGCCGCGGCCGACCCTCGGAAGCTTCTCCTGCAGGTGCTGCATATCAAAGGGTAGAACCCATTTACTGCTGCTAAAACCCTTATCATCCCCATCACTTCCATCATTTGATTGTCAAATCCCATTTTTTGCTACTTGAATCCGCATATTGGTAGAAGCAGACTGTTAAATCCACATTTTGCTCGGTAAAAAGTATCATAGTAAATTCACATTTTGATTCGTTTGCTGCCTATAAACTCAATACTCATGGGTGTCAAAGTCCTGGTTTGTGGGTTCAAACATTTGTAACCACAAACCCCCACGATTCTTGGTGTGAAACCCGGGTGAGATCCCTGCGCTCCGGCGGCGTGTCGTGCGTCGGATTGGCTGCGCGCTTCATGGCCAGGCGTCATATCTTTTTCAGCGATGGATGGTCGGAAATCTGGGTGCCTTCATTGCAGATCTATGCAGATTTGAATTCGATCTCAATATTCATGATTTAGAGTCTGAAGGTTTCAAAAGGATTATTGCAACCGCCACTAAAGTACTGCTTCTTTGTTGGACTTGATTAAAAGGCAAACTTTACAGGTAGTCATGGGTTTGTGCCATACAGATACTTGGCTTTCCCAACGCAACAGTGCAGGTTTCTCAATTGTGGTCGCAGCATGGTCCATGATTTCTACTCTGTTTGCTCATCATTGTCACTTTTCACAAACTTTGTGGGTGGCATGTGCTTCATTGAAAATGCCTTTGATCCTTTCGGAACTATCCTATCCATCCTATCCGGCTTCTGGACATCACAGCTGCAGATTGACTTCTGGGGTTTGCATGACATTGCCTCCAGATCGTTTTCCACGAGCTCCGGAAAAGCACAACATCACACAACAACTAGTAACTATCAGCTGCCCCAGGGGGTTCCGTCTGCTGAAACTTCCCCAATTGGATCATGGTCAAAATCGACCATCGGCAATCAGTTGCCATGAATGGCACCTTGAATATCACTCATTCAAAGATACTTTTATTAATTCTAGTTGTTTCCGTGTTATAAAGGACATATTTCCATAATAAATAGTGGTTCTACCCTGGAGATGTGCATTTTGTGGGTGCCACACACCCGAAGGCCACTGCTTCGCACCGGGTGCACCCAACATCTGCGGAGAGCACAAGGAGCAGCACCTTTCAGGGGCGCTGGTTTTCTCTGCAGAAAGGGTGAGAATAACCACACCATAAAATTCTCTTAATTAGTTTCTTTTATATATGGGGGCAGAAAATTGGGTAAACCGATAAACCAATGACAACCTATATATATATATAAATACACCCATGTCTATATCTATGTTTACTTTCGTAATAGCATGTAGTACTCGAATTTGTCAACCACCGCATCAGGGTTTGAGTCATGGAGTCGGGTGCTTGGACTCGCTTTTATAATCTACAGTACACACCAGTTGACCTCACGTGTTCCGGAAAATTGAAGATGTAGATGAGAGTGATATATTAGTATACTGATTATATATATATAATTATATATTTATATTTGTATATTATAACAAGAATGTTGTGATATCAGTATATATCAGCGAATTCTCAAACTGTCGACAACTGCCCTGACCGGAGCTTTGTTGGAAGCGACCTCCATGACTGGCACATTGATGGCTGACCAATCTCGGATTGTTGATATCTATATCTGTCTGTATCCCATTTAAAAACATCCAAACATGGTTGGCTTCATGCCATTCTTGTTGGTACCACATAAATTCTCACTTCATCCCATTTTCTGGTGATTAGACCATTTCTGGTTGGTGTTATACGTACCCCTCTGAAAAAATATGAGCCAGTTGGGATGATGACATTCTCAATATATGGAAAAAAACTGTTCCAAACCACCAACCAGTAGAATATTTTAGATTCACCATTTTCTAAACCCAGACATGGCCCTGACCGGCGCGCAACAAAAAACGCGCCGCTGGGCCGATTTTTTCAGCGCGCTCTCATCTCATCTCGCGACACTCCTGTGGATCGGGACGATGGATTCCGCGGCTTCGAAAATGGATGGAATACACTGAAATATGATCCAATTAATATGATGATTTACTAGGATATACATTGAAATCCATATTAGGATATAATACATGAATTAATGGATGGATAATATACTTTAATATGATTTACATTGAAATACTAGGATATACATTGAAAAACCATTTAATACGATTTATATGATGACTAGTTGATGTTGATCCTATATTCTACTGATGTTGATGTTCAAATATCATTTAATATTGTTTAACGATGATTAGTTGATTCTTATGCTGCACTATCTTCTTATACTGTAACCTAATTTAAGGATGGTTGATGACTTTTTATAAATGGAGTATACCCCCAATTTAAGGCAATCTTGATGCGGAACCATGACTTTCTCAACCATATTCAACCAGTGGATGGTTTGCGGTGATTCCGTCATTTTACCAACAAATTGACGATGAACATCGGGGTAAAACATGGTAAAACATGGTATAACATGATAGCAAGGTCACCTGCAAGACCTAGGATACAAACTGCAAAATTGCCTCCATGTCTTTGTTGCGGACACTGGGGAATGACCGTGTCACTGTAAACCCCCTGAAGTCGCATGGGGCCAAACAACCACCATGACCTGCTACAGACTGGGGCCGTTTTTTTTAAACCGTTCAACCACTCCCCGAATTGGCGGTTTTTCACAGCCCCACATTTCATCTCTTCTGAATTTCTGTCATCACATCCCAAGTTTGATCCATGTTTCTTGATGCTTCACCCACTCAACATCATCTCCCCGTTTCTCTTGGGTGACTTTGCATCACAAAAAAATGGTCACCCAAAAACATCAATTCTTCACAATTTTGTTCCATTTTGAAGACCTACGGTGGAGCCAGCGAAATCCGAATCACCAGTTGAAAACCGATCAACCGGTGGTCAACATCCCATTCTTTGGGTTGAAACAACCCATCCCAAATTGGTGGTTTATCGGATTTCGCTGGCCCATCCACAGCATGTTTTAAGGCTCTTTTTTCCGGATCCTCATCAAGTATTCGAGACCTGAGCATATCAACCAATGATTTATCATATCCCATTTATTCTACGACATAGACGTCAAAGTTTCCTGGTTAAGTCACTTAAATCTCCAACTTTGAACATGTTTTCCATCATTTTCCACCACTTCTCCAACATTTTCGTGCAATTTGACCCGCTCCTCGAGCCAATATTCCTCGATCTCCTCTAACGAGAAGGCGCCGCGATACTTGCGACAGAGCTCATCGAAGCCTGGGGCTGGTCTGGTCACTGACCTGATGGTTCTCTAGCTGACTTTGAACCTTGGACAACCTGCGATGATAGACGCACACACATATCTATGATGATCTATGTATACATAGAATTGTTCCGATGAAATCCGGGATTTCATGGTTTCTAATGGAATTTCACCGGATTTCACCAGCAACAGTGTCCGATGCGGTGGATTTTTTTCCGGCCCAGGAGCTGTAGACCTTCCCATCATCTGGATCTTTCCGCCCTTCGTGGCCATGGTGACCCTGTTTGGGTCGACCTCATGGGATGCGACCTATCAGGACCTGTTGGGATATCTCTAGCTACTGAGGATGATGGGTGATGGGTTATGGGTCATAGGTGGTGATGATGATGATGATGATGATGATGTCGTAATAATGATAGTAATATAATGATAGTAATATAACAGTAATATTAATAATAAGAAGACGAAGAAGAATAATAAACACACAACAACACCAACATACCAACAAAATTGACTTCCACGGCTGTTGAACAAGCCAATTCTCAGTGGTGATGTCCGCAATGACCCCACAAGTGGGGGCCGGCAGTGCTGCATCTTCCCACCTGAGATGAAGAAAACCTTGCTGGCACGGCCATCAACAATAGTGGTTTAACCATCACAAATGGTGGCTTAACCATCAAACATGATGGTTTAACCATCAAAAATTGTGTATTTCGTGCCAGCACTTGTCACACATGCTATTTTTTGTCATTTTTTGTTTCAACCCATATGAAAATTGTGCCGTCATTGGGCTAAGGCACATTTAAACAGCCTGGTCAGTCTCCCATCTTTTTCGGGACTTCATGTCAGGTATTCGACTCAGTGCAGTATCCTCAAACAAAGTCTACAACTTGGAAACAACCAAAAGTTTTTGGAGGATTTTATTGGTATATGATTCTGACCCAAAACCCTGCACCCATGCTTCGCATCAGGGTGGCTGCTGGATTTATATTCATCCCGCTATAAATCATGATAAATCAGGATAAACCTTCAGATAAATCAAGATAAATCATGATAAATCCAAAGAAATGATCCCAAGCCATTGACTAGAAACTCTCCCAAACATCAACGCCCCCAGACCCGTTATCACCCGGCAGGCGCCTGCCGGGACGGCCGGGACGGCCGGGACCACCTTGCAGTCCTCCAACTGTTTAACTTGCACAAAATGGGATTTAACCCATCAACATACACAGATAAAATCAAACTATTTATGCATATCAATGTGTATATATATATATTGTAAATAAACATTGGGAGTTAACCAATCAAAATTTGGGATTTAGCAAGTTAGTAATTGTTGATAATGGGTAATCATGGTCAACAATTTGGTGAAAACATAGAGAATCATTGGCTACTCCATTATTCACCATAGATGATTTGCCCAGAAATGGGTACACCGTATACCCCAAAGCTTTGCTCTAAATTATGGGGAAACTGAGGTTTTAAAACAACTGGGTTTGGGGGAAGGAATCTGTGCCTACCAAAACAGATGAAATCACCACGAACTTGATGAATGGGTATGTAGCCAACAAAATGGCCCAAGAGCTAGAAAGACTTGGGCAACTTTCCAATGAGACATCCTTAAAAATTAGGACTTTGGAACTCCAAAGTGATGGCCTCACCAACAGAAAACCATCAAATCAAAAACTGTTGGTCATGTAGGGCCGAAAGAACATGGTGTCAACATGTTGATTCTTCCCAACTGAAACACACAAAAACCAGGCCGAACCCAAAGGACTAAGATAATTCTCATGCTTAGTGGATGATTAGCACCTATGCTCACGACGAATTCGAACACCGAACGCCTTATACTTGCAAGAAACTGGGAGCTTATAAACCACTTACTATCTTGAATACCGCTTGGATTTCCATCTTTATTGTTGCATCACCCCTATTGAAAAATGGCTAGGAGAAGCTTTTGAGGCTCAACACACGCAGTATTCTTGTATAGACTTCCATTTTTGTTGCTTCACTCAGATGTCTTTTTGTGAACATAGACCAGTGTGGGTGCTGTGCCCTTAACTGGCTGGTGGTATACCTACCCCTCTGAAAAATGATGGAGTTCGTCAGTTGGGATTATTATTCCCAATGGAAAGTCATAATCCATTCATGTTCCAAACCACCAACCAGTATCTCATTAACTATCATTAACCATCATTTATTAAGCACTATTAACCACAATTAACCATTAATGGATGTTCCAAACCAGGTTGATAGACACTTCAACCACCAGTTGTTGAACCCCACCAGGCCCACCAGGTCGTCCTTGTTCCAATAGTCCAGGACTTCACGATCGGAAAACATGCCGCGATATCGCGCCCTGGGCCACATGGCACCGGAGTTAGTTGCTGTGTTTACCCAAGGCCATAAACAACGACCTTTTTGGGGATGATACTTACCACCAATTTACGACAATCATGGGGAGAGTTTATTTTTGGGTTTGCCGCATTACACATGATGAGTAAGTCTAATATTATTAGACATCTCAGGTATACGTGCTTTCTTGCAATGGAGTGCTTGTACAAGCAGAATCGTTCTGTTTAGAGGCCATGGTCACTCTGTCAAAGATGTCCATAGACTGATAGGCGTTTAACTGTATAACCCCTGCACAAATGGAGGTTGGTATTTCTTCATACTTTCTGGGCTGGGCAATTAATATTTGGCAGTAATCCCTGGCTTTGTTTTTCAGAACCCATTCTGGTTGGTGAAGCCCTGAAGAGATTTGGCATGTCGAACAGGATCCAACTGGAACATCATCTTCCAACCCCAAATCGCTGGTGTTTTCTAGCTTTCTATTCTGTTTCATGTGACTTTTCGGTGGAATCCATGATTTAATATCATTTCATGACATTTCCAGGTTTTTGGGGCCTGAACTCTTGGTTTTGTGGGCAATCAGATCCCATGAGGGATGCTTAATTAGTCGTGTTAGTCATCTGGTAAACCCAATGACAAGGGCATGATTTTGAAAACCCACCAGATATCCCCAGGTGCTGAAATAGAACAAAAGTATGGTGCATTTACCACTTTATCCCGGATCTTTATTTATTGGTGCACAACCGAAAAACCGAACTTCACATGGCCAGTCTTTCCCCAACTACCCAAATTTGCATGGTGAACACCCCAAATTTTCCCAACCTGGAAACACACCAAAATCAAGTTAGTAAAGCAATAGTATCCGCAAGTTTACCAACATATGGCTAGTTTGTGACACTTGCTTTACCAACATTAAGAAACATTTTTTGTTAATCACTATTCTGACTATTCTCCATCATTCACCATTAATCACGATTCATCAACATGAAAATCATGCCCTATATTTCCCTTTCGTATTTCATGGGCGCCTGAGCTCTTCCCAGGTGTAGAGCTTGTTGTCATCCGGATCCACCCGTCGCTCGCCACTTTGGCTCTGGTGTCCGGCGTCACCTTCACGGCGCCTGCGGTGGTGCCGGGACAAATTGCCGCCACGTGGCTTGGGGCCAGAAGGGGCACGTTGGTGGCGGATGTAAACCATATGAAACATGATCTATTGCCATGAACAAATCCACCATTCCCAGTCTTTTTCATAATCTATTTCCATATATTCTGGATACTCCCGCATGAAATCAACCATTCCCATGATATACTCCCACTCTTCTCATTATTTATCCCATATAATCCATGATATTCCCAACATCCCCATGGTTCCCATATCATATTGTTGGTTATAATATATATATATACCATTAATATCCCCTTAATATCCCACTAAATCCAACATTCATACATATAACATAAGTGGGATTAATCTATGTTCATTGATATCCCATGTATACACACACATATATATATATATATCCAATGTGTGTGTATATATATATATTAAAAACATATCCAATGTGTGTGTGTATATATATATTAAAAACATATCCAATGTGTGTGTATATATATATGGAATGTATATATATAAATATACACATAATATTCCACTACATACCTTCCATATCTGAAGATGCTCGGCCTCCGCCGAGCAGCTTCTCGCTTTGCCTGTAGTGCTTCCTCCTCCTGTCGCCTGAGAGACGACACCCTGGGAGGCCTGGGAGGCCTGGGAGGCCTGGGAGTGGGACCAAAAAATGGCCATGGAAACCCATATAAAGATGGGACTTGAACCCATAATATATATATATATATATTATAATCAATGGACCACCTTAGAATATTTAGTGAACATTTGGGACTTAAGCCGCAAAAATGGAAGTTAAATGAACATGAATTCAACCTGAAAACAATGGGTTCTTAAGATGATCTAAACCACTAGAATTTTGGGTTTTGACAAACAATGAAGATCTTAGCCAAGGAAGTTTCAATTCATGCGCCCATCTAAGCAGCAAGGCGGACTTTGTGCAACCAAGTTATTTGTACTTTTTGAGCAATTCAATAAGGGATTGATTAAAATTGCGCATGCTTTTCATCAATGGTAAGAAGGATCTGACAAAACACAATGGGCGGGGATATCATCAAGGACAGGGCCAAAACGAAATTGCACCATGATGACAGAAGCTATAAACTAAAACTTAAAACGATACAGTCAAGAATCAATGAAGGTGATACATGGTGATACCATCTGGTAAACCTACAAAAAACTATGGACAATCACCACTTTTAATGGGTAAACCAACTATATAACTATGTATGTATGTATATATATATATATAAATGGCCATTTTCAATAGCTTTTTGTATGTTTACCAGAGGGTAATATATTGTACTCTTGGTAAAGTAACATAGCCTAAGGTCTCCACCAGTCCGTCCATCCCCAACCGAGTGAAAAAAATGGGCTGAGGTCTTCATTCTGTGGTTCCCAACTGCTAAAGGTGACAATTTTTGGTGATGGTTTTTATCAAAAATCACCACTATCCCCGCAAAGTCTAAGGGACTGGCGAACCAGCATATTTTTCATCAGATTTCTGTGGGTGTGGCGCCTCTTTTCAGCCAGATCATCCAGGATGGAACTTTGCCTCCCATGGATCCAAAACAGGAATCTGAAGGCAATCAATGGGGGTGGGTATATGGAACGAAGGGGAGGTTAACCAGATACTCTCTGGAATCTGGGGTTTTATGTCAATTGTTGGGTTATATGGGTGGGGTATATGGAAATTTCCAGATACCTACCATTTCTGAAAATGAATTCTATATACCTCAACACTTTAATGATGGAAATGTAGCTAGGGAAACGTGAAAGTAACTGGACCAATCAATGGGAAAGGTGGGGAATCACCTGAAACAACATTGGTGTCAACGGGGGCCCAAATCCTTGCAGGCTGAGATGGAAAGTTATGAGCATTTGGGTAGAGGTCCAATCGTTTATGTTTTAGTAAGTACTCACACAAAACCATGAGCTACTGGTTGGTGGTTTCAATCCCTTTGAAAAATATTAGTCAGTTGGGATGATTATCACACATATTATGGAAAATAAAACATGTTCCAAACTAATCACATTTTTCATTGGCATGCGTTCATCAATACCTGTACGCATTTATTGGGTAGCCACAACTTCTATGACTTTGGATCCTGCCCCTCTGCGTTGGTGATTGCCCATCTACTGTTGGCTACTTGGCTTGTACAGTAATCACATGAGCCATTGATTGGGTGGGATGCACATCGAAGTAAATCCTCCACCAAGAACGATCAGCTTTTGGGGGTTGGGCGCTATGCATTCCTCGTTCACCCGAAAGTTCTGGTCACCAAAATTCAGAGCATGTGATTTATACCCGATTTTTTTGACATCTGAAAGTCTGAAACTGATGTGCTTCAAAATAGAACATATGGTGGGCCCCCAACATTTGGTGGACCCGCAAATTGCACCACGGTAACGCAATGATTTTTTCTCCGCGATGTGGATCCGAAAAGCTTCCGTCGACGTGTCGGACTTGTCCGTTGCAATGTGGCGTTGAGACCAGCATGGCCCTGGAAATGCGTTGAACGTCCGAGGAGCTGCGATCTGTTGGATCCACAAATTTCAGTTCATTCCAGTAGGGTTTCTACTCCCAAAATGAGTAGATACAATACAATATGATACAACATGCAGGGTTTCGATGGGGTATTTAATATTGGAAGGGATTGCTTTTGGTCAATGGGGGTTTCAAGTTGAGCTCAGAAGAAGGCCCGAACTAAGAATAGACCCAGCAGTTATTGTGGTTCAGAGATGTTCAGAGAACATGTCTGTACATGGCCCAATGATATTGTGTTGGTATCTAGATGGAATAATTTGGAAACACGAAGCACCAACGTTTTGCTATCCATCATGCTGCCATCTGCATCAGCATCAGCAGTTGGATCACCCTTTTGTCTTGGGCATTTCTGCATCTCCAACAAATTCTTGAAAGTGATGTTCAAAATCCTCAGACATTTACCCTCTGGTAAACGCAAAAACAGTTTGCAAACTGGAAAACCACCATTTTTTGGGGTAAATCAACTATTTCGACTGGGCCATTTTCAATAGCGAACTGTTAGTTTACCAGACGCTACCTGACAAATATGAATGGAACCATCAACTTAAGCCACCCCATGATCTCACGGTCTTTTCTGCAGAAACGCCATATGGTGCCCATCTTTACCATATGGTGCCCATCTTTAACCAGAGGGCTAACATAATTCAGATTCATAACCATCCTTGCCTAATTTCATACCCAGTATCCCACCATTACACTCTGGTAAACAAACATAGCTATTGAACATGGCCATATAAATAGTTGATTTACCCAATTTTTTCATAGTTTTTTGTATGTTTACCAGAGGGTATCACCATTTCTCTTGCTTAAAATCACATTTTTGTTTGATGGAATTCCTGTTTTGTGGAACCAAGATGAACCAAGGGGATCAGCTGACAGCGGGACGAACATTTTCTTCCCCAACTGAGCTGGTCCCCTTCTCCGAAGGACCGTGAAGACGGTTATCGTCTTCACGATAAATGAGGGTTCAACAGATGTTCCCTACATTCCTTGACAAGGGAATATAATATAAATCAGATATCCTGAAGATTATCTACTGATTTGTTAAATCTTCAATGTTGTTCAAACATCAGATTTTGAATCAACATGTCAAGCGATGATTGGTATCCCCAACAGCCGCAACGTTTTATTTTTACAAATCTTTCTGAAGCGTGCTGCGAAGCCAAGCACTGGAAACACTTCAGCTAAGTTTCCGTGAATTAAATGGCCGCAAATCCTGTTGAAACTGACCTGGCTCTGCACCAAAGCCTCCCAGACCTTCTCCCGGAACCTTCTCCATAACCCTGCGCCAAAGCCTCCCAGACCTTCTCCGGAACCTTCTCCGGAACCCTGTTGAACCTGACTTGGCTTTGCACCAAAACCTCCCAGACCTTCTCCCGAACCTTCTCCGGAACCCTGTTGAACCTGACTTGGCTTTGCACCAAAACCTCCCAGACCTTCTCCGGAACCTTCTCCGGAACCCTGTTGAACCTGACCTGGCTCTGCACCAAAGCCTCGGAACCTTCTTCGGAACCCTGTTCAACTTGACCTGACTTTGCACCAAAGCCTCCCAGACCTTCTCCGGAACCTTCTCCGGAACCCGGTTGAACCTGACCTGGCTGCACCAAAGCCTCCCCGACCTTCTCCCGGAACCTTCTCCCGAACCTTCTCCGGAACCTTTTTCGGAACCTTCTCCGGAACCCTGTTGAACCTGACCTGGCTCTGCACCAAAGCCTCCCAGACCTTCTCCGGAACCTTCGGAACCTTCTCCGGAACCTTGTTGAACCTGACCCGGCACCTGCACCAGTGCACACCGGAGCTATTCTGGGCTGAAGACCCCGTTAGCTTATGCTGTTGGGGAAAAATATCAGCGAATATAATGACTCCACGTCACAATTCGCGAATCCTTATTTATTGTTGGTTTAATTCACCATCTGTTCTTTGTTGTTGATTTCATGTAATTTCACCCACCCTTTCTTTTTGTTGCTTCAGTTAAGTCACTTTCATTCACCATTTGACTCTGAAAATTGGCTCCCCAAAATATCTAGTGGCAGGGGAATATGATTAATCAAAGGATTTCGGATAGCCTAATATTTGACAACATGATAATCTGTGGATGAAAGAAATCCTGCACCACCTGGGATGGTAGAACACCCAAAAATCATGGGATGTTTACCACCTAGCAACTGGTGCAGGATTTCTTCCATCCACAGTATCATTTCTGAATACATATAATCATATACATATAATCATATATATAATCATATATATATATAATCATATATATATATAATCATATATATATATATAATCATATATATATATATAATCATATATATATATATATAATTGTGAATTGCACCTGATTTCCCTCACCTTCGATTGTCCAGCCAGTGTTAAGGGGAGCATCCATCACTCTTGCCTGCAGCACCTTCCTGCGACCGTGGATCGGTGGCTCAAGGCCAACTTGTGAGGAGCACATAGGGGAAAAAGCAATGTGCGGCCGTTGGTGAGATCTGCAAGCTAGGAAGCTCTGCTAGGCATTTTGGGTGTGGACATCCTTTACTACTTTTGGGAATTTCCTTGTGGTAGAACAGGTCTAGGAAGGCCTTGGTTGGAGAAAGGAGGCTACCAGTGGACTGCTTCGGCAGTTACACTGGTAGCGGAGCCGCAAAGGCTCGTGCTACCAAAGAGCACGCAAAGCCGGTTAGACCATGTCGGCTACTGGCTCGAATGAGGAAAAAGGGTCAAGCTTGTGGAGTCAACTTCCCAGCTTTGACCCTAGCGTGGATGATGTGCGGGAGTTCATGCAGAAGGCGAGATTTCTTCACGGAGTGTTTCCTGACAAGGAAAAGAAGAACTTAGCATCGAGACTAGCGATGTTATGCAAAGGGACAGCATGGAGCCAGGTGAGGCACTTGGATCCTACGAAGCTAGTGGACCCGGAAAATGGTGTGAAGTATCTCCTAGATGCACTCTCCCCATGGGAAGAGACCAACGAGCTCAAAACGTTTGAGCCTTTTGAGAAGGCTCTGTACAAAGTGACGCAAAGACCAGATGAAGCAGCCCATAGTTACTCACTGAGGATGCAAGCAGCCTTCAACGATTTGGGGGACCAGGCAACCATCAAAGAGATGCAAGCCTTCGTTTTGCTCAGGCAGTCATGTCTTTCGAACGAAGACAAGAAACGAGTCCTAGCAATGTCCAATGGCAAGTTGGAAGTTCACCCAGTTGAGCAAGCTATGAGAACCCTCTCAACGAGGGTACTGCTTGGAAGTGGGGAGCAAAAGAAGAAGATTTACCCCACCAACTATGTTGAGCCGGAAGAAAACCATGCAAACAACGATGATGAGGTGCCCTTGCAGAGCACCTATCAGGTGATCACCGAGGAGGAAGAGGCCCTGACAGCTGAGACAATAGACCAAATGGCCCAAGCGGGCGATGATGATGCGTTGACCGTGCAACAGTTTGAACGTGACTTTGAGGAGATGATGCAGGATATACCAGATCTGCAGTCAGCACTGGTGTCGTATCAAGAAGCTCGCCAGAGGATAAACGACAGAAGACGATCAAGGGGGTTCTGGCCGTCCAAAGGTCGCAGCAAGGGCCAGGGCAAAGACTTCCACACAGGTGGTCGCTATGGTCGAAAAGGTGGGCAGAAAGGTGGGAAAGAAGAGCTTCTTTCTCGAATTTCGAGGACTCATTGTAAACTCTGCGGAGTTATGGGTCACTGGAAAGCAGAGTGCCCACAAAGACGTGAACAAGCACGAGAACAGGCAAACGTGGTTCAAATCGATGGACAACAAGATGAAGATCTACCTCAGGTGATCGTGGAAGAGATGGACGAGGCCTCGTCCGCCACATGTCATGTTGCCGAATGTTTTCATGTACAGAATTTTTCTTTGCATCCGAAACAGCATTCGAAAGGCATCCCAGAGTCTGTCCGTGTCAAAGCCGTCCAGTTCATGTCCCGCCGATTGTCCTCACACTGGTCTCATGGTAAGCCAATGGGGATAAATAGAGGGGTA